TAAGGGGCAACAGAAGCAGCACATATTTACATCTACAAACTGTATATAAATATGCACAAGGCTCAGCTGCACAGCAATTGCAAAAGAAAGAGTGAGATTCTTCAAAATGGAGGAAAACAAAAGGTCAGATACCTCCTGCTCTAGGCCCAGCTATTCAAGCTTATCAGCTGAAATGACTGTGTGGCAGGACCTGGTCTCTGAGTTTCACTCCAATGACGTCTGATGTTTTATTACAACGATGAAAGGAGCATTTTGGCCACATGGTCATCATAAAAAAAAATCTTGAAAATGCAGATACTGTCGTAGGTTTTAAATTGCTCTCTCTATTCTGGCACATGTGCCAGAAAGCCAGCTCATTGTTCAAACTCTAACAGTTGGCCATAATAAAAGATGTTACTTCTTCCCATGATCCTTACCTCTCTTACAGCCCTGGAGGAGACTGTAACAGCTACAAGAACGTTACTGTTATTAATTTAGTGGCATCAGTATTTCTTATTTTTTAGAACGTTTGGCTACTTCCCTCGATGCTGAATAGGGCAAATAAATTACTAGCAGATTAATATTGCTTATCTTTTCTTTCCTGGGAGCTCAACTGCCTCCTGCGTTCCCTGGGTAATGGTTATCTCCAGGGACTCATCTGTGGCCTAGCTTGAAATGTGTCACTTAAAAATGGGGAAAAAGCAGCCCAGTTTGGTATTGCGAACACGACACGGGCACATGGCCCAAGTCAGGAGGTGTGAAGACCGATGGCTTTTGGTTTTGCAATTCTACTATTGAAGATTGTCTCCTTGAACAAAACTCATCCCTGCACCTGGGGCGAGACCTTGGGAGCTTTGGTCTCGTGTTGGCACAGCGTAGTCCAAGGAGGTAATTTGCAAAAGGAAACCCTGCCAAGGGCAGGCAGCAGCACAATGGCTACCCTTCGGTGCTCCAAATTTTGACAATGTTGGCGTGTCCTCATCACCCCCGGAGCCTGATGCTTGGCAGCTGAGGTGCAGCTGAAAGTACCTTTAGGGAAGGATGGTGGCATCTCCCCTGATCCCTTATGGACAGATCCTGGTTCCTTTTCTTTACAACTGGCAAATACTCTGCTCCATAATACTTTCCTTACTTGGGGTAAGGAATGAGCTCTACACCCATGACCAGAAAAAAACGTAGAAACACTACAAAACAGAAATCCTTCTTTATCAGATTGACAGGGTTTCACCCTGCAGGATTTGGTCACAGAAAAGCAACGTTCCCTTGTGCTCCTCACTCATCAACCTCTCGGTTTTCCCTCCACAACTGGAAATGTGGAATTGCTGAACATGAACACTGGCGAGAACTGCAAGTACCCGATCATAAACTCCAGGCTATCCACTTTACTGCACACTAATCTGTTTTACTACTTGTATTATAGTGACAGAATTGTTTTCTGCAACCTAGTTCAGATTAAGAAACTGAGGGATAAGACACATTAAAACTTCTGCAATATATATTGCCAGAACCTCGGCTGGTGTAGAACAGCTTCCTAGGGAAATTAAGCAAAGAGTGAAGGGCAGAAACAGTCTCGGCTGCTGATTTTTCAGTCTTAGTCTGAAGAACTGGCACCGCTCTAGTGCTACAAGCCAAAGCCTCAGGTGGTCACTGTAAATCTGCATCCATGCTGTCAAAGTCAACAGAGCTACTCTGTTGAGATTTGGGTTAGTTCATGAGAATATTTTCAGAAAATACACTGCATTTGCATTATTTACAAAATGCAAACATAAGCTCTGTTACACAGTAAGCAGCACAGCCTAAAAACAAGTCTCCACACCAACGAGCACGCCAAGGAAATGAGGGACTGTTTCTAGAGGACGTTTGCAAACAAAAGCTGTTGTCAGCAAGAGCATCAGGCCCTCCGCACCCTGCCAAGTTGCTGGGTGGCATGGCTGCCCCGAGCTCCCAGGGACAGAGGGAGCAGAGCCAGCCGGCCAGGTCGGCCCTCGTGGGGGATATCCCCGTGTTACGATGCCAGCCTCGCTGCCCTGAGTCCTGGCTCTGAAAGGCAGTAGGTTTGGGAAGCAGGCACTAGTTTGGGAAGAGAAGGAATGGAGAAGCCATGGCAATAATTACCTGGGTTAGTAACTCCACTTGTTACTCAGGACTATGTTGAAAGCTTACTTTGGCATTTCAGAATTTCTTTTCTTTCCAAAAAGATTAGCAAAAATCTAGTGTTAAACTATTATTTTCTAGTTTTTCAGCAAAGTAAATGAAGCTTTGCCACACGGGCATCCTAACAGCTCTAACGGGCACGGCAGCAGAGCGAGACTTGGGCAGCTCACAGGAACCGACTCCTTGTTCCTTCAATGAGAATTCCCAAATCACTGAAGTCGTTCATAAGTCAAACCCACTCTGGCGTTAAATGCCCAGTCAATCAAATTAGCTGTGTTAAATACGCTCCTGGGCACGCGTGTTTCATTTGTTCCATGTTCTGCAAACTCCCACCGCGGCCGTGTCTGCAGCCGCTGGGCGACTCGGTGTCTCAGCCTGGATCGCTGCAGAGAGAGGGACGATCAAACAAGCATAAATCTTATTCAAGAGCAGAGAAGAGGAGGGGAGGACTATTAAATGGACATAACTGAGCAAGGCAAGTGGGAAGGTACAAAGGTACAACCGCCTGCAATTAAGTCTAACGGTGCCCAGTTTTATCATCCCCCGTGTTACCGTATAATAGCATGAGGGGAGGTAAAGTTAAAGCTCCTGGCAAAAAGGCAGGAGACACTCAGTTAATTGGGATGAAAGTCCACTACAACATCCCAGGTGAAGAGCACACAGCACTGGCTTGAACACTTGGAGAGAAAGAGAAGAAAGTGGGTTGGAAAATCTGGAGGTGGGAGAAGGCAGAGGCGAGCAGAGCAGCATTTCACCTGCTCCAGTACCAGCTTTTTGGCCATGACCTGCACCCCAAGAGGCTCAAGCGCCCCAGGCTACACCCCTGCAAGCAACTTCAGGCACTGACAGGCCAGAGTTAAGCTGCAGAGCATGTTCCTCATTCAGCTGGGTCAGGCACGGAGCATCTCTGCCACACCAGAGGGTGTGGGGACATGTTTTTGTTGGAAGACAAAGCAGAGATGGCAATAACCCAGAGAGGCAGCCAGGGAGCCTCCAACCTACACATAAGTACTTTGGTGCATTTATGGCAGCATTACTGGATAGGCGATGGGATATCGCATCGGCACATGGCAGTACAAGGAAGGGACATGATTTCTGGGCCCTCTCTTCAAGGTCTCACCCCACCCCATGGCAGAGCAGGGCTTCCCACGGCTTCACTGGGGATGACAGTGTCCAAACCAAAATGTGGTTACTGCAAATTGGTTGAAATCATGAGACCATCATCAGCATGTCTGGAGCCCCAGCTAACACCTACCCAAGCCTGAGTGCAACAGAAGAAGCCGCATTTCCCCGGGGCAGAACACTTGCATGTACAATGCCCCGAGCTACTGGGAAGACAGAGGGCAATGTGTTGGGCACCCAGCCATCAGGGAGAGCAGCAGTCCCTGCTCTCCATGGGACACATCGAGCACACTCACCTATATTAAAACCCCAACCACAGCCTTCCCAACAAGTGATGTCCTAATTTTAGTACCAGATCACGAAATTTACAGCAACCTCCATTCATTCACACACTTTTGGCACCAAACATTAGCCATCTCTCTCTGACTTCTAAAACACGCAGCTTCCTAGATGCTCATCTGTAGGCAACTGAACACACCAAAGGCACAGGCCGCCTGCTTTTCCTTTTTTTCCTGCCTGACTGCTTCAGAGACATTCAACATAATTTACCCCAGCCCTTTAAAACAGCATTTAAGTAGCATCTAAAGGACAAGTGGTCCTTTCACCTGCCTCCCCACAACAGTGTTTCCCTCCCCCACTGCAACCCCCTCGCTCCTGTTGAGCCTATACAGAACCTGGCTGTTTCCTTTCCACTGCAGACTGCTCATTTATATTGCTGGGGCTGAGGGAAAAGTGCTTTTCTCTGCATTTAATAACGAGTCCCAGGGAAAATCTATCCCAAAGCTGCAGTGCTCCCCAGGGCTGGGGCTCAGCATCCCATCAGAGAGGCCAAATGGGGTAGCTTGGGACAACGGCACTGGCTTGAACGGAGGATGTCTCTTTCCAAATCACTGTTTGGATTTTGCCCTCAAAGTGCTCCATAAGCTTTCATAGGTAATGTTCTGGTTTCTGCGTAGGGGACTACCCTCAGCAACACAGGTCTGGGTCACACCACTACTTCATAGCCTCTCAGGAGCAAAGTTACCAACTTGTGTCAAAGGCAGGAGTCTATTCGAAACAGCTGGCCCATCCCCTTGCCATTTGGCTACAAGCAGCAGTGCTGGTGCCACCTGCCTTTGGAGGAACAGCGGTGCTGTGTGATGGGGCCAAGGCCACATTTTGTTCACGGTGTCAGAGAAAGCCCCCAGTGCAGCCTGCGGCAGGCAGCGCAGCCAGGGAAGGGGATGCAGCAATGGGACACATCATGCAGCTCAGCCTCTGGTGTGCAGGGGATACTGTACCCTTTTATAAAGGCTTCCGTGTAACACTGTACCCATATTGGTGAAACGAGCCCTATTTTGAAAAGCAGCAAAGGTGCTACAGTTTCAGCTGGAAATAAAAGGGATGTCAGCACCAAACTGGTCACAGACCACATTTTCAAAGGCTTTTGGAGTTTCTCACAGGCCCAAAAGGCAACCAGAGGGATCAAAAGACACCTGAACCCAGTAACAAATTCAGAAGGCACTGGGCCTGTTTGAAAATCCCAACCAACACCAAAAAACCTACCCCTTAGCCCCTTTAGGCTCCATATATGACTTGTTTACTTAAATGACACCGGAAAAGTAATTAAAAAATAAACCCGTTGATAGTGCCCGTGCAGATGGACACTGCTGCTTTCCCTGTACGCCAGCCCGGAGCGGGGATTCCTGCCTTATTTCTGCTTTTACAGCACAGCGCGCCGCAGGGGCTGGTGCAGGTTTACTCACCTGCACCGTACGTCGTGGCCAACATGATCGAGGAGACCCACGCGATCTCGCTATAGGACGTGCCAAAGAAATCCTGGATTTCTTTGAAGAAGATGGCTAAGCCTTTGGGGAAGGCGTATGCGA